TAAAGGGAAACAAGAAGACCTTTTATAAATACATTAAAAGCAAGAGGAAGACCAAGGACAGGGTAGGCCCACTGCTTAGCGAGGAGGGAGAAGCAGTAACAGGGAACTTGGAAATGGCGGAGATGCTCAATGACTTCTTTGTTTCGGTCTTCACCGAGAAGTCTGGAGGTGTGCCTAACGTAGTGAATACAAGCAGAGAGAGGGTAAGTTTAGAAGATAGGATACACAAAGAACAAGTTAAAAATCACTTAGGAAAGTTAGATGTCAGCAAGTCACCAGGTCCTGATGAAATGCATCCCAGGATACTCAAGGAGCTGATAGAGGAGGTATCTGAGCCTTTAGCTATGATCTTTGAAAAATCATGGCAGACAGGGGAGATTCCAGAAGACTGGAAAAGGGCAAATATTGTGCCCATCTATAAAAAGGGGAATAAGAACAACCCAGGAAACTACAGACCGGTCAGTTTAACGTCTGTCCCAGGGAAGATAATGGAGCAGGTAATTAAGGAAATCATATGCAAACACTTGGAAGGTAATAAAGTGATAGGGAATAGCCAGCATGGGTTTGTGAAGAACAAGTCATGCCAAACTAATCTGATAGCTTTCTTTGATAAGATAACGAGCCTTGTGGATAAGGGAGAAGCGGTGGATGTCATATACCTAGACTTTAGTAAGGCATTTGATACGGTCTCGCATGATATTCTTATTGATAAACTAGGCAAATATAACTTAGATAGGGCCACGATAAGGTGGGTGCATAATTGGCTGGATAACCGTAGTCAGAGAGTTGTTGTTAACGGTTCTAAATCCTGCTGGAAAGGGATAACAAGTGGAGTTCCTCAAGGGTCTGTTTTGGGACCCATACTGTTCAACATCTTCATCAATGATGTAGATATTGGGATAGAGAGTACGCTTATTAAGTTTGCAGATGATACCAAACTGGGTGGGGTTGCAACTTCTTTGGAGGATAGGGACATAATTCAAAATGACCTTAGCAAGTTAGAGAAATGGTCAGAGGTAAACAGGATGAGGTTTAATAAAGAGAAATGCAAAGTGCTCCACTTAGGAAGGAACAATCAGTTCCATACATACAAGATGGGAAGCGACTGTCTAGGAAGGAGCATGGCAGAAAGGGATCTAGGGGTCATAGTGGACCACAAGTTGAATATGAGTCAACAGTGTGATGCTGTTGCAAAAAAAGCAAATATGATTCTAGGTTGTATCAACAGGTGTGTTGTAAGCAAAACTCGTGAAGTCATTCTGCCGCTCTACTCTGCACTAGTTAGGCCTCAGCTGGAGTACTGTGTCCAGTTCTGGGCGCCACATTTCAAGAAAGATGTGGAGAAATTGGAAAGGGTACAGAGAAGAGCAACAAGAATGATTAAAGGTTTAGAGAACATGACCTATGAAGCCAGGCTTCATGAACTGGGCTTGTTTAGTTTGGAAAAAAGAAGATTAAGGGGGGACATGATAGCGGTTTTCAAATATCTAAAAGGGTGTCACAAGGAGGAAGGAGAAAATTTGTTCCTCTTGGTTTCTGAGGACAGGACAAGGAGTAATGGGCTTAAAGTGCAGCAGGGGAGGTTTAGATTGGACATTAGGAAAAAATTCCTAACTGTCAGGGTGGTCAAATATTGGAATAAATTGCCAAGGGAGGTGGTGGAATCTCCCTCTCTGGAGATATTTAAGAACAGGTTAGATAGACATCTGTCAGGGATGGTGTAGACAGAGCTTGATCCTGCCTTGAGGGCGGGGGGCTGGACTCGATGACCTCTTGAGGTCCCTTCCAGTCCTATTATTCTATGATTCTATGAAAAGCATGAGTGGCGTGGAGAGGGTGCATAAAGAAAAGTTCTTCAAAACTTCCTTTTGTTTGTTTTAAACCTGCTATCTATTAATTTCATTTGGTGACCCCTAGTTCTTATGTTACGGAAACAAGTAAATAACTTTTCCTTAATCACTTTTTCCACACCAGTCATGGTTTTATAGACCTCTGTCATATCCCCCCTTAGTTTCCTCTTTTCTAACCTAAAAAGTCCCTGTCTTTTTAATCTCTTATTATATGGGACCCATTCTAAATTCCTAATCATTTTATTGCCCTTTTTTGAAACTTTTCCGATGCCAATATATCTTTTTTTGAGATGAGACGACCATATCTGTACATGGTATTCAAGATGTGGGTGTACCAGGGTTTTATATAGAGGCAATAAGGTATTTCTCTGTCTTATTCCCTATCCCTTTTTAATGATTCCTAACATTCTGTTTATATTTTTGACTACCATAACACATTGTGTGGAAGGTTTCAAAGAATTATCCAGAATGACTCCAAGATCTCTCTCTTGGGTAGTTATAGCAAACTTAGTCCCCATCATATTGTATGTATAGTTGTGATTATTTTTTCCAATGTGCATTACTTTGCATTTATCAACATAAAATTTCATTTGTCATTTTGTTGTCCAGTTACTTAGTTTGGTGAGATCTTTTTGAAGCTCTTCACAGTCTGCTTTGGTCTTAACTATCTCGAGCAATTTAGTGTCATCTGCAAATTTTGCCACCTTCCTGTTTACCCCTTTCTCGAGTTAATTTATAAATAGGTTGAATAGGATTGGTCCCAGTTGGGGGACACCACTAGTTACCTCTCTCCATTCTGAAAACTGACCATTTATTCCTGCACATTGTTTCCTGTCTTTTAACCAGTTATCAATGCAAGAGAGGATCTTCTCTCTTATCCCATGACAACTTATGTTACTTTAGAGCCTTTATTGAGGGACCTTGTCAAAGGCTTTCTGGAAATCTAAGTACACTCCATCCACTGAATCCTTCTTGTCCACATGTTTTTGACCCCTTCAAAGAACTCTAGTCAGTTAGTAAGGCATGATTTCCCTTTACAATCTTTTTTTTAATCCTTGTAAGCAATCCAAATGTAAAAGGACTGGTCAGAAAGTGTTTAAACTCAAATACGTTTTTCAGGACATCAGGCTAACGTTAGCATTCACAAAACAAAAAACTACCTAATTTCAAGACCGCAAACAGGAACTCTAAACTATGACACTTGAACCTCGGTACTTCCTGTTGCAAATGATTTTTTTTTTAGGCTTGTTCTTGCACAATATATGCTGACAAAAGAAGATGCTGCTTATGCATTTTTTGGTTTAGGTCAGAAGCCTGTGCCAGCTTCCATTCTCAGAAAGTAGAGTTCATCAGACTATTCAGGGCTTATAAGGCCCTACTACTTTCAGAGGAGGGCTCCCGTGAGTTTGAGTGTGCCTTTTAGAACAAGAAAAACAAGGAGTTCTATGGCATCTTAAATACTAATAGGCATGGGCATAAGCTTTCCTGGGTAAAACCCACTTTTGCCAGATACATCTGATGAAGTGGTTTTTACCCACAAACGCCCATGCCCAAATCCATCTATTTGTCTTTAATGTGCCAAAGGACTCCTCATTGATTTTGCAGATACAAACTAATACGGCGACTCTTCTGAGACTTCTAGAACAAGAAATACAAGACTACCCAATTGAAAACTTTTCCATTGCCCTTCCCTATCATGAGAAAAAGTTAAGAACTTGACTACCCCGTCACACACACTTTACACAAATGGCACAAGGGACATGCTCACCCATTTCTACAATTCTGAATGGTCCCGCCTGAGGGCTATTATATTTATGCTCCTTTCTATTTTTCTTACAATAGAAATGAAAAAATGTTTTCGCATATCACTGCAAAATAAAACTGATTTAAGAATTAAAATAGCTGCGTCTGTTGAGATCGAAGTCTGTGCAGAGATGACCTAGTCTTCCTTTTTTAAGTCTTTCTTAATAGTATTTTTGAGAGAATAAGAAAAGTCTCCCTTGTATAGTTCTGCAGTTCAGGTGATGCATTTACTTTGGAAAAGTTATCAGTTCATTAATATCTCTTAAAATTAGTGCAGAACTTTAGAGCTATGAAGTGTAACTCTTATCTGGAAAGTGAATAACAGCAGACTTTAAGAAAGCTACTGGCTTGACTCTGACAATCTTCCCTTGTTGACCGATCTGCGTCTAGACTGCCGCGCTGTGCCGGATCAGCTGATTGTTGGCATAGCATGGTGGCCATTTTTATTTTAATGAAGCAGGGATTATTAAAATCCCTGCTTCATTGACTGTGTCGAGTAAACTACTCTACATGGCTCCGTCGACAGAGCCATGTAGTCTAGACACACCCTATGTGTGAAACAGATTGTTCCTTCCTAAGTGGAGTACTTTGCATTTGTCCTTATTAAACTTCATCCTATTTACCTCAGACCATTTCTCCAGTTTGTTCAGATCATTTTGAATTATGACCCTATCCTCTAAAGCACTTGCAACCTTCCCAGCTTGGTATCATCTGCCAGCTTAATAAGCATAATCTCTATGCCATTATCTAAATCGTTGATGAAGATATTGAATAGAACCTGTTCCAAAACAGACCCTTGCGGGACCCTACTTGTTATACCCTTCCAGCTGACTGTGAACTGTTAACATCATGCAGGTGATGCTATGGTAGTTTCCTTCACACAGCTCTGCAAATGCATTTATCTGAAGTACATTCTGACCACAAACAGCTCTGTCAATGGATATCAATCCTATTCTGCAGCATTCCTACTAGTCTAGTCTTGGGTCACCAGAGCTCTGCTACATACTTTTTGGTCCTTATCTGCAGCATTTGTTCAAGTTCTGTGCTTTTGCGAAACTCCATGGGCTTGAAAAACAGCCTTAACACGAGTCTGTTATTATAGTGTGGTAATCTGTCATTAAGATGTGTCAGCACTGAAGCTTTTCATGGAAAGATGCTTCCTGTGAAACAAAGCTTTCTACAATAATTCCTTAGAGTTTCACAATGTAAATCTGTCTAATTCACTGAATACAATTCCTTATGCTCTGAGAAATTAAAAAGTGACAGGGTTTAACACATATATGAAATGCATTCTTTTGTGTTTAAGTTTGTTGCAAGTAAGATTCCTTTGTGTCCTTTGCTTTTTAGTGAGCGGTTTCTGGTGAGGTTGAACAAGAATGGAGGCCCCAGGAATCCAGAGAAGATAGAACGAATGTGTGGCCTTTTCACAGTATGTATGTATGAATTCTCAATCTATTTCCCTATCAAATGGTGAACTGAGGCTTCTCTTGCAGGTTGTTTAACTACAGACAGCTACTCTGGAAACAAATAGAAATTCTTTCCTATATACTGAAGTGAATGTAAACTGTATTTCTGCTTGAGTCAATGAAATGTTAATATAAAAATTGAAATAATCTTTCAGATTAATTCATTATTGAAGTAAAGAGACATCAAGTATTTTTCAGTTTTAATTTTTAAATGTCCATTGCACTTTGAAAACAGAAGATGGGGAATTATTTGTTTTTGACTGTTTATGTGGATCCTATTCTATTGGTGCATGGACCTCATATGAACAAGATAGACATTTTTGAATAGGAGTGTCTGCAGGGCTGCACCTGTGCCATATATACCTTCCCTTCCCCCACATGCTGGCATAAATATTTCACTACAGTGAACACAGCATACCTGTTAAAAGTGCTTGAATTCAAGCGAGTTTAATGGCATTCAGTCAGAACTATGCTATAGCCTCCTTAACATGTTTTAAAACTCCACAGCCTTGTAGGCAAAGGGGGAGCCATGGGGTTCTGGGCTGCGGCTTGAGTATAGGTGTTTTATAACTTCTGTTTTGGGGGCAGAGACCAGAAGGCTCAAGTTAGCTCCTTATGACAGGTTCAGGGAGGCTGTGCCACCTCCACCCCCTTCTCCCAGCCTGTCCTGGTTGTGGCCAAGGAGACACAAACAAAAATTGTAACTCAAAGGAGGGGGCATCCACTCAGAAAGTTAGAAAACAGCTCAGGGTGCAGGGAGGGGATAGCTCTCTGTGTATAAAGAGTTGTAGCTAGGGGCTGTGTGCAGTCAGGAGGTAGCTCAAGATGCAGGGTGGGTTATCTAGGGGATGTGTGCAAGCAGGAGGTAGCCATGGGGAAGAGGGTGGTGGCTAGGAGCTGTGTGTAGGCAGGGTGTAGCTCAGGTAGCAGGGAGGAGGTAACTAAGGGCTATGTGCAAGCAGGGGGGTAGTTCAGGGTGCAGGCAGGAGTAGGTAAGGGCTGTGTATCTGGACAGCTCCTCTGCAGCCCCTGTTCCCTGATGATTTTGCCAGCTATGGAGCCGGTTCCCCCACCTCTGTGACTCTTACTGGCTATGTGAGAAAAGAGGAAAGGGAACTGAGGGGGAGCTTCCACCCCCAGCGCCAGCAGCAACAGGAGAGGAGGAACACCATGGCTGCCTACACCACAGCATTGCCCAGCTCTAGCTTCCCCTAAGGCATGGGAATGACCTTACCAACTCTGTCAGGACCGGCATTATCAAAATGATGCTCCAAGTTACTTCTGTAGGGCTTACTGGAGACCACCATGCAGGAGCCAATATTCTCCCTATCGTTCAAGGAAGTGGAGAGGGACTCAGTCCCCTTGACAGACCCTGTATGCAGACTGGAAAGAGCAGCAGCCAGCAAAAGAGGATTGGTTGCTTAGGGGCAGATATTATTAAGAGGTAAATGGTCAGCAGTACAAACTATGAGCTTGTTGTTCCATAATAGGCCTCCAACTACATTTTGAGAAATCTGTTTTGACACCAGTACAGTGAATAGATTTCGAAGGGGCATATCTGAATGCAGTGACAGTCAGGGCTTACTTGTCTACTGATAGATTTCTCACCCTGGAGTATCTCATGTTAACTGCACAGCTCAACCTCAAGCCACAGTGAGGAGGCGCTTTCAACTATTGGGCCATGTGACAGTTTGGCTGCATCTAGACTGGCAAGATTTTGCGCAAAACCAAGTGCTTTTGCGCAAAAACTTGCCGCCTGTCTACACTGGCCGCCAGCATTTGCGCAATAACACTGACGTTCTAATGAAATCAGTGCTTCTTGTGCAAATACTCTGATGCTCCCGCTCAGGAATAAGCCCTCTTGTGTGTTGTGAGCAAGACACGAGAAGTCATTCATCCGCTCTACTCTGCGCTGGTTAGGCCTCAGTTGGAGTATTGTGTCCAGTTCTGGGCACCGCATTTCAAGAAGGATGTGGAGAAATTGGAGAGGGTCCAGAGAAGAGCAACAAGAATGATTAAAGGTCTAGAGAACATGACCTATGAAGAAAGGCTGAAAGAACTGGGTTTGTTTAGTTTAGAAAAGAGAAGACTGAGGGGGACATGATAGCCGTTTTCAGGTATCTAAAAGGGTGTCATAAGGAGGAGGGAGAAAACTTGTTCATCTTGGCCACTGGAGATAGAACAAGAAGCAATGGGCTTAAACTGCAGCAAGGGAGGATTAGGTTGGACATTAGGAAAAAGTTCCTAACTGTCAGGGTGGTTAAACACTGGAATAAATTGCCCTGGGAGGTTGTGGAATCCCCATCTCTGGAGATATTTAAGAGTAGGTTAGATAAATGACTATCAGGGATGGTCTAGATAGTATTTGGTCCTGCCATGGGGGCAGGGGACTGGACTCGATGACCTCTCGAGGTCCCTTCCAGTCCTAGTATTCTATGATTCTGTGATTCTAAGTGTTCTTGCGCAAGAGGCCAGTGTAGACAGGCAGCTAAGACATTTTGCGCAAAAGCAGGCTAAATGGAAAAAAGCCCTAGTGGCCACTTGGACGGTCCGTACCTGCAGGCAGCTCCTGACTTCCTGGTAACACGAGACCCCTTAAAGGTAGATGCAGCCTGCAGAGGCCACGAGGCAGAAGCCTTTCTGCCTCCTTTGCAGTGCGCTCTGCCACACAGCTCCCTGCTGTCCCCAAAAGGCACCGGAGGAGTATGGCACTCCAGGGGGGGAACAGCCACCTGCACCCCCAGCACAGGAGGCCCCAAGGGGCCGAAAATGGAGGGACCCATCCTGGTCCCTGGGGGAGCTGGAGGCTCTACTGGACCTCTAGGAGGAAGAGGAGGCCCTGCATGACACCCACTCCCGTCGCCGCAATGCGGACATTTTCAACCGCATGGCCCAGGTGCTCGCCCACCAGGGACATCCAGCGCGGACCCTTGAGCAAGTCCAGGCTAAGGTGAAGGAGCTGCACCTGGGCTATGTCCGGGCCAGCGGGCAGGAGCCGACACCTGCCCCCGCTACCAGCAGCTCCACCACATCCTGGGCCAGACACCACCCCAGGGACCATCCGTCCCTGTGGACACCTGCCTGGCCCCCCTGTCACCAGGACCAGAGAGGCAGGGGAAGAGGAAGACACCACCAGTGGGTCGGAGGACGAGGCCAGCACCATCACCCTCCAGGCGGAGGCCCCTCTGGCGCCCCGATGTCTCCCGTGCATCCTCAGAGGCCGAGAAAGGATCTATGGTGAGTGTTGCACTTTGCACTCACAAGGGTGGGGGGGAGCCAGGTGCCCAGAACGGGGAGGGGGAGAGCGCATCACTCAAGGCCGCGTGAGCTGCACGCTGTGTAGCATTAGCAGTATGCAGCACGTGCAACCACGTGCATCCTAGTGACCGAACGGCGTGTGGCCACAGCAAGCAGCTCCAGGGCACGCCTGGGACCATGCTGCTCACACACATCTGGCAGGACCAGAGGGGAAGGGTGGATGCCGGCTGGAACCAGCCAGAGCCAGAGCCCACACCTCCACAAGGCTGCAGCACACAGAACAGCACACTGTTCCATGCCTGGCTGTGAGACACAGCCAGCTGCTCCTGGGAAAACTGCAGCGTCACAGCCCTGTGAGTGTGGCCCCCACTAAGGCTGCAGCCACACATGTCCCTGGGCTACAGTGTGTGAGGGCTAGCGGGGGGGGAGGGGGAGAGCGCTCGGGCCAGCCCTAGGGCCACCGACAGACAGACAGAGTAGATAAACTTGGGCTAGCCAAGTTAGTCGGTAACAGGAAAAACTTAAAAAACAAACAACAAATAGTCTAGTAGCACCTTCAAGACTAAATAGTTACAAGAGGCTGATAAGAACCATAAGCACCTTCATTGGTTGGTTGGTTAAGTCATTAAGATGTGGAAGATATGTCACTCCCATGTCAAGGCTCCTGAAGAGATGCTTGCACTGAACTCAATAGAGCAGCACTGATGATCAGGTAAATGTCTGTGAGCTAATGATATTTGAGGTGATAATTGGGGAAGCTATCTTTGTAATGGGGAAGATAATTAGAGTCTTTATTCAAACTTAAGTGTAAAGTGTCGAATTTAAGCATGAATGACAGTTCAGAGGATTCTCTTTCAAGTGCAGTCTTAAAAGGCCTTTGAAGCAGGATGCAGGTAATCAAGTCATTGTTGAGACAATGTCCTTTCTGGTTGAAATGTCATTCATGCTTAAATTCGACACTTTACACTTAAGTTTGAATAAAGACTCTAATTATCTTCCCCATTACAAAGATAGCTTCCCCAATTATCACCTCAAATATCATTAGCTCACAGACATTTACCTGATCATCAGTGCTGCTCTATTGAGTTCAGTGCAAGCATCTCTTCAGGAGCCTTGACATGGGAGTGACATATCTTCCACATCTTAATGACTTAACCAACCAACCAATGAAGGTGCTTATGGTTCTTATCAGCCTCTTGTAACTATTTAGTCTTGAAGGTGCTACTAGACTATTTGTTGTTTGTTTTTTAAGTTTTTCCTGTTACCGACTAACTTGGCTAGCCCAAGTTTATCTACTCTGTCTGTCTGTCTGTCGGTCTCTCTCGCTTTTTTTTTCTCTCCCCCTCCCGCTTTTTTCTTTTTTCTCTTTTTTTTCTTTCTCCTCTTCCCCCCTCCCCCCCCCCACCCCTGGCTCCCTCCTTCCCTTATTTATTCTCGGATCTGGACTTCTAACACTTCTGTCATCTGACAACGTGAGCTGTACCCACGAAAGCTCATGATACCATCTATGTGTTTTATTAGTCTTTAAGGTGCTACTAGTCTATTCATTGTTTAAGTTTTTCACAATACAAATAATAATTAAGACACCGAACAACAACTTCTTGAGTTAAATACAATAGTGGGTATTCTGAAACATAAGCTATGCATCTGATCAGAAAAACTCCACTAAGCCAGAGCCCAAGACAAATGAAGTTCCTGCAGGACA